TAGATAAATAATGTACAAATTCCATGCGTATTTGAAGTAGTTGTATACTTGCTTGAACATGTATAGACTGAATTATCTGGGGATTAATTATCTTCATAAATTTGCATGGGATTAATTATCTTCATAAATTTGCATGGGATCAGATGAAAGCGAAAAAATAAAAATTTGTGTAGTAAAGGATTTTGCGCCAATTTTTCGCATCAATCATTTCGGATAGCCTGCTAGTGAAGAATTGGATACATTTGCATGACACTTGAACTACATGCAGTACAGAGACACGTACCAGGCTTATCTTCACATTTAAATCGGTCCAGCTCACAACATGTACCGCATGACTTTGCACAGTGAAGACCTTTCGGTGATAGTGGTTTAGTCTTTTGTCCACCTACATAACATTCCTGATCCTGACTGAAATTAGCGAAAACAATTTTTATTTATGTAAATTTTATTCATTAAATAATGATTCGTCTAAAGTATCACACTCACTTGCCAGAAATTCCCGCGCAAAACAAAGCTTCATAGTCATCTTCACAGTCGCAATTTTGTGCTTCTACTTTTGATAATATCAGAACAGTAAAAGTGATGAACGTGGTAATTGGTGACATTTTTCAATTATTTCCTTTCGTTAATCTGCCAAAATTACAGACTAATGAGAATTTGTGATTTACAGTAAGATGGCTAAGATTTGCGCATATTTATCATACTGAATGTTTTACCTTCTAATTTTATCGGAACCAATAATAAGCGTCATTTTTCTACGCAGTTACATAAATGATACAAAAGAATGGATTCAAACTTTGTGTTCAAATCAACGTGACCAAATTTTGTATACAGTGAGTAATTCTCATATATGCAACAACTATTTCGCTAATTTTTTAAATAAAATATTAATTTCTAATAGAATTGCAAGTTCATTTGCTCTGGTTTCGGTTCAGTAAAATCAAAGTTATCCTTTTTTGAAATTCACTGTTGGCGCTAATCAGTAAAACAAATAAAACACTAATTAATTTATTTTAAAGTTGAAAATTAGAATGAAATAACGTGCAAAAATGATTTCAGATCAGTTTGAAATGGAACTTATTTTAGGTATTTTTCAAATTCAATTTATACTATGTTAAGCTTATTTTTCATTTATACAAAAGCAGTTGTGCACACATTTAATCCTAAATAAGGTCATTTTTTATCTCAGTAATTCTGACTGATTTCTGTAATTCCTAGCTAATAATAAGCACTACTTTGCATCTTCCGATTCTTAAAGTACAGTACAGTATCAATTCAAACTTTTTTATCACTGAATATCCTTCAGTATGCTGAAAAAGCAATGGTTGTGAAAGTGAAGAGGAATCAGAATCAGATGAATTTTTGAAGGTTTTTTTCAAAAAATAAACAATAGAGAATTTGAGGAACTGCAAAATCACTGCTTTTCGTGTATGTATATTGCTTAGCTTATTTGGACAATAATTTATTGTATTATCAAAAAATATAATTTAAACTTTTACATTACGTGAAAACGTTATAAAGCTTATTATACCATAAAATCAAGTGAAAAGTCAACTCATGAATCAGTAAGTGCGTAAAACTGTATTCAGAAATAGCAAAATATAATTACAGTACTTGGAACTTGTAAAGTTATTAGTTATTAATGTCTAATTTTGTTTTGTAATTAAATAATGAGCTATTATTCAAAAAAAATATCATTCATTTTTTTCCAGTTACTGATCTGATTACAGTGTGGCATTTTGCCACTATCGCAAATAATCTAATATTTTATTTTCTCCTACTATTATTTGAAAATAAATTCAGAGTCCATATCATCAAGGAAATATTTAAATAGATTTCGTACTTGGAAAATGTTTTTGGCTGAAACATTAATTTGATCATAGCTATCTAATGAAACTGCTACGTACCTAATTAGGTAACCTCACGTAGTACCTAACCTTATACGTGAATTAATTATGCTTTTAATGAGAATGTAATGACGCAAAACGTGTTATCAAGCGGTTAGTTTTGTACAATATAATATTAAAAATATCACAAAACATTGTGATAGAGCGATGAAAAATTTTGCTGTCATAGCTGGGAATAAATTATGATTTTAGGGAGATGTATTTCAAGATTTCTTAATTTTTGTGCATTTTAACAAACAACTGCAAAAATTATAGAATAGTGAGCTGAGCACAAACATAAATTATGATGCAAAAATGCGCCTAATTTATTGATTTTTTCTAATTTTTATAAATTTTATTCCATATCTTAGATTTGTATACAATGTAATTCATACACAGTGTTAATATGTGATGCTTTCAAACTTGTAAAATTTAAAAACGGCTCCTACAACTATTTTACTTTCACAGTTTTTTGGTATAAATAAAGTTTTCAAACAAATTACAGCCATTTTAGGATTTGTATTTTGTGCTCTTGCAAGCGCAACTTACAGTGGCAATATTCTTAAAGTTAAAGTTACATTACTGAACACGAAAAAATTACTTATGACCCCAAAAAATATTTTAGAAAAAAGTTTGAATTCAAATAAATCACAAAATTTATTTGTTTGACCTTTCACCAGAAAAAAAAAACTTTTTTCTTTATTTGACATAATTGTTATTGAAATCAAGACATACAGTGACTGAATAATAAGCTTTAAAGTAAGCTTAGCATGCAAATTTATTCACGGAAGTCTCATTAGCTTTTCTGAAACCTTCTTTGCTTGATATTTTCAAAAGCCGTATTAAGCATTAAAAAACTTGTTTGACTTTTTCCATGATTAGAATACTTATTTGCTATTTGAATTTCATGCATTCGATTTACAACTGCTGAGCAGTGCTAGCAATATATGAGCTCAAAGACCAATATTTCAGATCAAAATCTGAAGCTTAAATTATTTGATAGAAACAAAAACAAAAAATTCAAGCTTGAAAAATATTTCAGATCAATATTTCAGATTGAAAGACTAATATTTCAGATCAGTATATTCAGGTCAAAATAAATTTTTGTATTTACAGTACTATTGAAGTTCGGTATGGCTTGAAAAATTCAACAGCTGACGGAAACAAAAGCAAAAATAAAGAATTGAATCTTGCCTTTCAGTAGCTTTATTCATTCATTAAAGTTATAGCTAACAAAAGTTCGATAAATGTGTGCATTTAATCTTTAGCATTTGACCTTTTATCAATGCCTAAAATTATGTCATGACATTAAGCTAAGTAAATTGCTCTTTTATACAGTCTCTTCCAGAAAGTATTCCAATTAATATCATAAATAATTGCTTAAATCTAATCTTTTCAATCTTGTAAGAAAGATTAAATTCAGTCTTTACTTGCTTTTAATTACTTTTAATTACTTTTATTATCAATTTGAAATGCATAAATTATTCTTTTGTTATTTGAGTTTTCTGTGGGACATTCTTTTCCAGAGCATTAGCAACAGAAACTTGCAGTGGAATTGATTCGTGAAGGAAAGCTCATCTCAAGTTCTACTTTTTAAATAAATTATATATACTTGTATAACTTAGGCTTAGGCTAAGTTAACGTCTGAGTGGTTCCTTGCTGTGTAGTGATGAAGCAATTAATTTACTTGTTTAACTATCTATCAGTTTAGTTTTTCACTTGTAAAGTTTAATTTCTATGCAGTGTTTTGTGATGAATGCTGAAATTGCATACTTATTAACTGCATTATTGATATCTGATAAGTGCTTGAATCTAATCTTTTCAATCTTGTAAGAAATACTTAATTAACTATGATAAATTAGTAGAAGCTCTACACTGATATAGCTTTCTTTTTGTCTTTGAATTTTATTAATTAAATTATATCATTCTTATCAAAGCACTGAGTACACTTCAGCAAAAGGCTTTTTTCTATTGAATGCTTTTGATAATAATTAATATCTTGTCACGCCCTCAAGATATCTTATCAATGATTGTTGCATGCAAGTGTTATTGGAATTTTGTTACGTAAGGAACGAGCCGATAAAGTCAGATGAGATTCCGTATATGCAGCAATTATTTTGAATACTTTTAGCTAAATACGAGAAATTTTCAAAAAATATTTTCTAGTTTGTGAACATATAAAGATTCAATGCGTATTTTATATGTAATTTTAGGAAATGACGTCAATCTTGTTAAAGTATTCAAAATTCATAAGCTTAAATTTGCTTCTTAAATAAGCCTGTCTCATAATTTAAAATATGATAAAATCATGGCTTGAAAACTTCAGTCTTCTAAAGCTAAATCACTTCTGATTAGCTTCAACACTCTTTTTGTAAATGAACTCAGTAACTTTGTTACCAGTAGCAATTATGATATTTTTTATATTAATTGAATTTATTAAAGTTTGAAGCATTGATATCATCTAGAATAAACTTTTAAAAAAGTTATACTAAAAACGACTTTTGACTAAATGAAAGTATTGACTCAATCATTACAAGTTATAGGTCAATTATGACGAATGTATTAATAATTGAATTTGACCTAACTTCTTGCTGTGTGATTCTAATCACAGATCATTTTTGATTTTTTAAATAATATAATTGCTGAAAACACACAAAGCGAATCAAAAAAAATGTAGTAAAAAATTTTGAATTTTGAACTATTACAAGCATTTCTAAAACTTTCAACTAAATTAAAGAAAAATTTACTGACAAAAAGTATTCAAATATTTTTTTTAGTTCGTTTACTACTTATGGAATTTTAAAGTTTTGACACAAAATTTAAAAACTGATAAACAATTTTTTGAGTATACTTATTTCAGTAAATTCTTTTGTAAAATTGTGCTTCATGTATTTTTTACCTATAGTACTTTGGATATACTATATGTATGCCCTGTTTATTCATACAGATATGCAAATTTTCATTCTATCGTTAGTCTATGACTGCAATTTACATTTTTATTTTTATTAATTTTATTTTTGCATCGACACATATTTAATTCAATGGTCAAAAATTAGTCAACAAAAAACATAACAATAATAATGATAATAATAATAATAATAATAATAATAATAATA